AATGATGTGCTGATAAAGCTACATTTTGCCACTCTGTGTTATGGCTGAATATAAACTAGCCTTGGCCAGTTTGTGTGGACAGATACTCTGCAGAAACATCAATCCTGCATGCAAAATGTCTGTGCCCAAGGTTGGCTGGAGGCTCTATTCACATAAAATCGATCAAATGAACAGTTACATGCGGACAGCATCACTGAAGGCTACGGATTTATACAAAGTACAAATTTGGCACCAACAGCTATTTCTGGTTGCACCCGGCATAAGCAATTAGAGCCACTGGCAAGAGTCTATTGATTCTTGCAAGTGGCCACCCCTGGCTGTCTATACATGTAATCTAAAGGTGAAGTTTGGCAATAGCCCTCCATCAGATGACTTTGAGTAGCAGGAGAACAAAAGTAATTATACTCTGTGAACCATAAGATAAGTATGACTGAAATAGGTTTGGTCATACATCGCTATAAAAATTTAAATTATTATTAATAATAATAATAATAATAATACTACTGTACCTTTTATTGAAAGCACTATGGTTGATTACTAAAGGAGTAGAGCATGCTCACTTTGTAAAGTGAATGTTTCATTTAGACCAGTGAATGATGTGAAGCTGTGCTGACTGTGTGCTATCTTCAGCTACTTATTTATCTCTAATTCCATATGATTGGGTATTCTTTGCAGAGTAAACATTCTCTGTTCCTTTAGTAAACTAAACCCATTGTCTAGGTCACCTGGCTGGTTTTGGTTATATAAATGAGAGAAGAAGAGTAGCTGGGACCAGGATCATCCAGCGATGGTGTGATAGACTGGATGTGATGGAGTTTCCTTCAGATTTCCTTGTTGTTACAGGAACATCATTGAAGAGGCGTCCTCCACATGTCCTCATTGGTGTAGTGATATTTGCCACATCATAGAATGTAGCGTTCAGGTAGGTGCTGATCCAGGTTTGGTAGGCCGTCACCAGTGTGTACGCTCCGGGAAGTTGGCGTACGCACATCCTATTCCCGAACTCACAATTCCAACCTGGTACCAAACGCCTTGGACCTTACACACCAGAGGTCCTCCTGAGTCACCCTGGAAGACATTGATAATCATTAGCTGCACCAAATTCTATCTGTTCAGGATAATTTAATAAAATGTTTCAAACTTAGCATGTACCTTTTCCACGAATGTGTAATTACACAAACTAGTTGAGAACTCAGTAAATGTGTATGGAATTGGTACTGTACAAGAACTTTAAAATGAAGCAACCAAGTCAATTTTTATTTTGTAAATTTGCTTAAAGCAATTATGTTATAAAAAAAAAAAAATGTCACAAACCAGGACCTTAAAATTATAATGGGAATTGTCTCACCGGCCCATGCAGCTGACCCACTACAACCTAGAACATAATTGTTATTAAATATTTTCAAACTATCTCGTAGATTGTTACTTATTAACCACTTCTGAATTGTGCACCCGCATTGTACTGCAGATGGGCGGCTCCTACAGGCACAGCGGTGTCCCCATATGTTGCTGGCCTCTTCCGGGTACATGGCGTGCACCCCGCCAGCTGACTCCTACTGTGATTAGACTCAGAAGGTCCTAGCCCAGAGAAATGGATGGTGAGGACATTTTTGTACTTAGTGATAATATCAAAGAAATGGGGTAGAGAGGGGAGAAATTGGGTGTGGCATGCAAATGCGGAACTGAATATACAGGGTGCATCATACCGTCTATAATTACCTCTCTGCTCTACCCATCCACACATATATGCTTTAGTTGTGTTTTTCGAGATGATACTTGTTTTTTTTTTAGCGGAGGTTGGCAGTTTTTGTTTTTATTATTGCTATTAATGTTTTAATTGGATTGGGGCGGGGCTTTTTCGGTTCTTTTGGGAATTTTTTTCTATTTTTCTATTTGTTCTATTTTTGTATCATTATTTTCTTTTTCATTATTTATTATTACTTACTTTGCATTTATTTTCTCTCCTGGTACCTGGGGCTATTTTAGCTTGAGCATTATCTGTACATGTGTCCTTTCTTTTGCGCTGCATATGTGTTAATCTGAAACAGTCCTGACACATTAACAAAAAATAAACTCTTTTTTTGTACCGCTCTGAGCCCCTTAGGAATATCCAGCTGGTGTTGATTTACTCATTTATCCATTCATCACAATAGCGGCTCATGATCCATAAGTTCCAATGTTTGCATCAAATCCTCCCCTCCATGACTAAACCCTGTGGGTAGGGCAAAACCCATCAAGGATGTGACTTGGATGCAGTCAGGCCGAAGCTGCTTTTTACCTGTCTATACCCGGTCTTATGTTGGTGTGTGGCATTTGGACCTTTTCCTTGTTTCAGCATATGTAAATCCAGCCTTTCATTTTCCAGGAAAGCTTGCTCTGGTCTGACTAGTCATCACTGTTTTCTCCCCTAGGACAAGGTCATCAGTCATGTGATAGCCATTTGTAGTCCACTTCATTACGTCAGCACAGCTTAATTTGAATGGATCCAGTCTGTGGACAGCCACTCTATGGGCCATGATAGAGAAGGAAAGAAAGCCCCTTCCTGCACCCAGTCCATAGAAAGTTACATAGGCCATGTTTAGATGACTGTCCAGCAATTGCGGGAACAATGATTGACTACACCATAGACAGTACGGGACTGAGTCTGAGAGGAACACTGGAAGGAGCTGCAGTTCAACTACTACACTGGCCTCAGACACCTGGCATCTTCCTCTGTCCTTTCTTCCTCCTCAAAGCTGCCCCTCCTCGAAGCTGAAGCATCATTCGTCCCACACAGTGAGAGAACCAGCCTGCGCTGCACTCAGGTGCCCCTAGGTGGCAGTGTGCCCTAGGAAGCTGCCTAGTTTTCCTAGTGGAAGCCCTTGCTATGCCTCATAAGACTGAATGCCCCTCACTTCCTACCCAAGTGACACCAGGACTAGAAATAAATACAAGGGGTAAGGTAACTGACAACAATGATGACACTGCGAGAGACTTGTTACCTTTCACCACACCTTTCAATAATAAATTATTGTAGTTATTTCCAATCACTTTATCTGTGATAGCCTGTTAATACAGGAAATGAGGGGAAATGTCCCCAGTGATGAAAAAGACGTCAGTTAAAACCCTGAAAGAGCACTAACATGTTCCAATTTATTCCAAGTAAAAAATAACATTTTGCTCAGATGTAGGCAATAACTGATGTCATGCATTTCTTCTGCTGCCTGTGAAGAGATCCAAATCTAGGTGAGGCATGCTGGAATACTTTTGGTGTTACCCACCTGGCAGGAGTCCTTATACCCATCCTTGTAGCCGGCACAAATGTTATCATACGGGATGTTTGCTTTACTTCCTGCACTCTGTTGCATTACTTGACATGTATTACGGTCTATTAGGGGAACCATGACCTCCTGGAGGGTCCCAGATGAAACCAAACTCCCTGTTGATGAAACAGACAAGAAGATGATTACAAGGTCAGTCTTAGGAAGGCTATACTTAGGGGGTGTCCAGGCTGTACTTGTGCATGTGCAGGAATGTTGCATTCCTAACAAATAGTTTTGGACACCCTGACTTAGACTGAACCTTCATGTCCTTTCACGCTTATGCATTGCAGGAATGTACTAAAAATGTGCAGACTCTCTGTGGTCCCCTTAATTATTAAGGGCAGCCCAATGCACCTTTCTAAAGTGTGTGATAAATCGTGCAACAAAGCACACGGTAACAAAGTACCATGCATTTGATGTGACCTGATTAAAAACAAAATGGGTCGTGAACTTCTTTGGTGCCATTTAGGTGCAGTAAGCAGCCACAGCAACAAACAGTAACGTGTAAAAAAAAAAGACAACAGCCAGAAAAATTTACAGTCCATGCACAATATGCATCCAAATTTATTAGTCCTCAATTTGAGAGGGAGAAACAAAGCAGGTTTTATTGTGAAATAAACATGTTAGTGTTTTTTTAGAGACAAGAGTCAAATATATTAGACAGATTCGATGAATTCTATGTAAATAGTTTTAGTAGACCACAAATGTCCCCCATGTCAGTGCTAAGCTTCCCATGTCTTTTTTGATAATCAACACTAAAAAAACAACAAAAAGAGGGCACACCAGCCTAACGCATGACCTTCCTATACCAATTATTGATTCAAATCAAATATTATACTCACAAACACAATTAGTTAACAGGTGTGTCATATGTTCAAAGCCACAAATATCATATCTGCAGCACTTATTCAACAGCATGGGAAGAAGTCATCCAGGTCCAATATGTCTGTTTTTCAAGGGGAAATCCTTCTTCATGAGATCCAAAGGATGTGGTAATTGAACATACTATTTATCCTCTTCACGCCAACCGTACGCAAATATGCGGCCTAACGGCAGCTGGACTTGAAGCTGAGTAGTCGCTAATTTGCTTGCCATTTATAAACAAACATGTGTCAATCATGGCGGTCACATAACCCTAAACTCCGCCCCACTTCCCGGCATCATAAACCCCTTAACCACCTCCCTCCCACCATATAAGGTAATGACAGGTGGTCGGCGGTTCTCTCGTTCTGGAAAGATGTCATATGACGTCCTCCCACTCTAACTGCGCATGCACGCCCTCTGGGGGCAGGCAGTAATCGGTGGTGCGCTGTGTCCCTGGGATACAGCAGATCACCAATCACTGTAAAGAGCCAATGACTTTGGCTCTGTCATGTGATCAGCTGTGTCCAATCACAGCTGATCACATGTAATTAGGAAATGCCGGTTATCGGCAGTCCTCTCCTCCCGCTGACAGCTCGTGAGGAGAGGAGAGCCGGCAATTGGCATTCCTCAGAGGGTACATCTACACTGATCATCAGGGCACCGATGATCAGTGCCCTGATGATCAGTGTAGCCCCATCAGTGCCACCTGTCAGCGCCCATCAATGCCACCTGTAAGTGCTACATCAATGCCACACACCAGTACTCATCAGTGCAAATCAATGCCACGTATCAGTGCCTACCAGAGCACATCAATGCCACATATCAGTGCCCATCAGCGCTGCCTTTCAGTGCCACCTATCAGCTATATGCCAATCAGTGTCACTTATCAGTGCTGCCAATCAATGCCACCTATCAGTCCCAGTCAGTGCCACCTATCAGTGTCCATCAGTGCCTCCTTTCTGTGCTCATCAGTGCTGCCTAACAGTGCCACCTATCTGTGCCCGTCAGTGCTGCCTAACAGTTCCAGTCAGTGCCGCCTAACAATTCCAATCAGTGCTGCCTATCAGTGCCAGTCAGTGCCGCCTATCAGTGCCAGTCATTGCTGCCTATCAGTGCCCATCAGTGATGCCTATCAATGCCATATATGAGTGCTGACTTTCAGTGCCCATCAGTGATGCCTGTCAATACCCATCAGTGCCACCTACCCAGTGCCCATCAGTGCAGCCTCATTAGTGCACATCAGTGAAGGAGAAAAATTACTTAGTTACAAAATTGTATAACAGAAACTGAAAAAAATTTTTTATCTCAAAATGTTCAGTCTTTTTTAGTTTGTTTAGCAAAAAGAAGCCACAGTGATGATTAAACGCCACCAAAAGAAAGCTCTATCAGTCTAAAAAAAATGATAAAAATCTAGTTTGGGTACAGTGTTGCAAGACCGCGTGATTGTCATTCAAAGTGAGACAGCGCTGAAATGTGAAAATTGGCCTGGGCAGGAAGGGAGTAAAAGTGCCCGGTAGGCAAGTGGTTAAAGGTTCGGGAGGCGCCGGCATGAAGGGGTTAACAATGCAAGACTAATAGGTCCCTATTAGGCTTGACAATGGCCAGAACATAGCATCAAGATTTGTACCCCCTCCTCATCCATAGACCTCAATAGGATTCACAGCTAAGTTTAGGTGTCATCATGGATTTCCAACAGGATTCGACAATTCCCCTAACCCAGGCAGAGTCGCCCATCTCTAATTAACATGATGTATTGGGTGTAAATAATGGACATGGCTTCCCAGTATGGAAAATGAGTGAAATCACTTTTGCTAATTATTTCATGGACTCACCTCCAGAAGATCTTGTACCCCAGCCGGTCACCCAGCACTCCATACCACAGGGGAAGGTGGTGGTGGAAGATGGCAGACAGATCGGCATGATGTACTTAGTATAGTTGACAGGCGTGTCCAACTGCAGCAGGGCAATGTCCCCAGGGCTCCCAGTGCCATTATAATTTTTATTGACGATGATGGTCCTTACATTGACATAGACTGTATGAGAGCTGATTATACCCAGCTGGTACATGCCCAGATACACTCTGTAATTTGATAGCTGGATAGGACTGCAGAAAGGAAAGAGAACATAACATATATTATTATTATTATTATTATTATAATACAGTATTTATAAAGCGCCAATAGTTCGCTCAGTGCTGTACATTACAAAGGGGGACAGAACATGTGACAGAACAATACAATACAATGCAAAACATGAGGGGATCGAGGGCCCTGCTCCTTGGAGCTTACAATCTAGGAGGGAGGAGATGGTGGCACAGGAGGAGATAGCTGTGGGGGATGGAGTGGTAGGAAGAGTGGAGGAGGTCGGCAAGTTAGCAGGGGGTGGGGTAGGCTTCCCTGAAGAGATGGGTTTTCAGGGTGCGCCTAAAGGAGAGGAGAGTAGGTGATAATCTGATGGGTTGGGGCAGGGAGTTCCAGAGGATGGGTGACACCCTGGAGAAGTCCTGGAGGCGGGCATGGGAGGAGGAGACCAGGGAACTAGAGAGAAGGAGGTCTTGTGAGGAGCGGAGTGTGTGTGTTGGGTGGTACTTGGATATTAGGTCGGTGATGTAGTTCGGGGCAGTATGGTGGACGGCTTTGTACGTCAGTGTTTAGGATTTCGAATTTGATCCGTTGCGCAATCGGAAGCCAGTGGAGGGATTGGCAGAGGGGGTGGTGGTGGAGACGGAGCGGTTGGAAAGGTGAATGAGTCTGGCAGCCGTATTCAGGATGGACTGAAGCGGGGATAGCCAGCGGTGAGGCAGGCCGGTGAGGAGGGAGTTGCAGTAGTCGAGTCGTGATATGATGAGGGAGTGGATGAGCTGTTTAGTGGTTTTAGTGGTTTCTGGGGTAGGAACGTGCGGATTTTGGCGATGTTGCAGAGGTGGAGTCTGCACGAGTTTGTTAAAGATTGGACTTGGGGCTGGAAGGATAGGTTGGAGTCCAGAATGACACCATATATAAATAAGGACCCATCTACTACAGACACACTGCAATATCATCATCATCAACAAATACAGAATCTGATAAATGATACACAACTTGTCTGTAAGGGGAGCAAATACTTATTTCCTTCAGTATATATATATATATATATATATATATATATTATATAAGTACTGTTTATAAGTATGTAAAATAAGAGGTGCCATACCACCATCCATCCGTACATTATCCAAGTATTTGAAAAACCTTCTCCAATGTGTTCCCAAACATAGTTCACGTTTGTGAACCAGAGGTAATAAATTGTTTACTCATTTCTTGAGAATTTTTCGTTGCAGAATACACTGATTATCCTGTGAATGTGTTTATGAAGCAAAAAAGTCTAAATAGCCAAAAAAGAGAAGAACGGTTTTTCCAAAGCTGGATACGGTCTACAAACTCTGTTTTAAAGGGATCTATTTTAATAAATCTCTCGAGATTTTTTTGGACCAGTTTACTATTTGCAGCAGGTAAATTTTTCTGTGTAGTTTTGATCCCTTGATTTTTTTCAATAGGGCTGGAGAATTGGACGGAAAAAAAGATCTCCAGAGAAAAGGTGCTTTTTGTCCTTTTTCTTATTTTCTGTTATAAAACTGTGTACATTAGTGAATTGGTGAGATTTGAGAGTGTTTATTCAACAGCTATTCTCTTGTCATAAATAGGTACAAATCAAAGTTCACAAAGTTTTAAATTTTTGTTTACTTTCATTTATTGAGAATTGTTTTTAGTTTTTGCAGAGTAAACTGATTATGGTTACACATGATGTGATTAACAACAAAAAAGTCTAAATAGCCAAAAAGAGTGCTTTTTTTTTTTTTTTGTGCCTTGAGTGTGTATAATTAGTTGAGGGTTTCTGTTTTAAAGAGATCTAAATAAATAAATACAATCTAACTAGCCAAAAAAAGTATTTTTTTGGCCCTTTTTTCTTATTTTCATTGCATGGTTTATTTTTGTGTAATTGGTTGATAGTTGAGGTTTTTTTCAATAGGGTATTCAAAAAAAAATTCTAAGTAGCCAAAAGAAGTGCTTTTTGTCCTTTTTCTTATTTTCTTTACCTATTTTGTGTACATTATGTGTAATTGGTTGGATATTTGAGAGTGTTTATTCAACAGTGTATTTTAAAATAGATAGGTAAAATCTAAATAGTCAAAAAGTTTTTTTTCTTTTGTCCTTTCCACATTTTGTGTGTAATTAGTTGATATTTGAGATTTTTGCAATCTATAGGTCTTAAACATTGAATTAAAAAAAAAAATGCATGGTTACACCATGATGTGATTATGAACAAAAAAATCTAAATAGCCAAAAAGAGTGTTTTTTTTTTTTTTTTTTGCTTGCCTTGAGTGAGTATAATTAGTTGATGTTTTTTTTTTTTTTATTTAAAATGTATTTAAATAAATAAATAAAGACATATATAAATAAATACAATCTAAATAGCCCCCCAGAAAAGTTCTTTCTCCTTTTTCTTATTTTCTTTGATTGCCTTGTCGTGAATGTGTATATTTAGTTGACAGTTGAGGTTTTTTTTTATTTAAAACATATTTGCATAAATAAATTCATACATACATAAATACAATCTAAATAGCCCAAAAAAGTTTTTTCCCCCTTTTCTTATTTTCTTTGCACGGTTCGTAATTGGTTGATAGGTGTTTTTTAATAAGGTATTAAAAAAATTCTAAGTAACCAAAAGGAGTTAGTTGTTTTTTCCAATTTTCATTGCATATTTTGCGTTTTGAGTAAATGGATAATATTTGAGAGTGTTTATTCAGCAGAGTATTTTAAAAGAGATAAGTAAAATCTAAATATCTGTTGTCCTTTTTGGTATTATATTTTCACATTTTGTGTGTAATTAGTTGATATTTGAGATCTTGTGTATAAAAAGTCTTAAAAAATTTTATTAAAAAAAACCCTTTTTAGTCCCTTTTTAGTCCTTTGCATGCTTTGTGTGTGCAATTGGTTGATATTTGTGGGTTTTTATTCAATAGCAAAAAATAAATAACTAAATAAATAAATAAAACCCAAATTGAGCCGAGGTTAGCAAATAGAAAAGAAAGTTTTGATGATGATATTAATACACTAGCAGGGGTGGCTTGACTGTACATACATTTACCCCATGAGGCATTTTGCTAGATGGGAAGTTACTGACTTGCAGCAGGCATACAGGAACTTGTAGTCCTGCAGCAGCTGGTAGGATAGCCGCAGGTTGGCCAGCCCTGCAGGCTTGATCTACATCTGGGTTACTAAAGAAGGTGGCAGTACAGGACCAACAGGTAGAACCAGCTGAGGGTCATGGTCACAAAAAACAAAGGGGTTTATTTACTAAAGCATGGAGAGTCAAAAATCATACTCCCTTGGGTCAAAACAAAAAATCAGCTAAAGAGGTTAAATAATTGCCAAAGCTTCATTGAACAAATAGCTGAGGTTAGAAGCTGATTGGTTTCTATGCAGAAGGGAGTCTGATTTTAGGACTCTCCAGCTTTATGGTAGATGAAACAAAGAGCCAAGCAAATGCAGATGGACAGGGTGCAGTAACTGGTACTCGGGTTACAGCTACACAGTCCAAACACATAAAAGCAATATCGGCTGGCAAACTTCTGCATGCAGAACAAAGCCTTTAAAGGGTAACTACACTTTCATGGGAAAAAAAATAGCAAATAAAAAAAAATATATAGCATATAGAATTTCTACACAATTAGCACTCATACAGGACCTCTTTGGTGACAAACCAACCAATGATGATCAATGATGCACTCATAACAGTTTTAAAGTGGACACTTTTTAAAAGATGAACAATGTATCAAGAAATACTGTATGTACGTGACTGATTTGTGGAAACATTTTTTTCAAAAGCAGAATGATTGGTGCCTGAAGTTAGCACATGACTTATAAAGGTAACACGTTATACTCACTTGTGGATGCAATGCGCGCTGCGGTCATGACCCACTGTGATGAGATCAGGGAGCCCCCACATAAATTTACTTTATCTAATTCTTCCCTTACAACACCGACCTGCCAGGGCCACTGCCCGTCCAATGAATCTGTACCGCCAACTATCCGACTGGACACCAAGGGGGAACCGCACACTGAATAATCTGCAGCACCGAGAACATTGCCGGCTGACACAAGCA